GAGCCCGGGGCCCAGCCATGGGCGGCCGGGGGAAAGCGCTGAGCTCCGGGGGGGCGTTTCCACCCTGCCTCCGCAAGGGCGCTGCTCCCGGGGCGGGGTGCGTGTGAGGCCGGCGGCCGGAGGAGGTGTCATTCCTTCACTCATCTGTGGTTTCCACCCAAACGGGCTGGATTTCAACGTTTTGAGTCTTTCTAGAAACCCCCAAATTTGCTTGAATTGTTTAGATCTCTTTCCTTCAATTGAATGAGAATAAACACTATTTAAGGGGTGACCCTAGTTGATTGAAGTACTCAGCAAAAGCAAAATAATAAAGAGTTGGAAAATCACTTTTCAAAAGTCTGTGGTTGAGGGCGGGCCTGTGGCTCACTCGGGAGAGTGTGGTGCTGATAACACCAAGGCCCCGGGTTCGGATCCCATATAGGGATGGCCGGTTCGCTCACTGGCTGGGCGTGGTGCTGACAACACCAAGTCAAGGGTTAAGATCCCCTTACCGGTCATCTTTTATTTTATTTTATTTATTTTATTTTATTTTTCTTTTCCTTTTTATCTTTTTTCGTGACCGGCAACGGATCGCAACCCTCAGTGTCGTGCCCGTCCCGGACCGGGACCGGCAACGGGATCACACCCCTAGGTGTTGCGCCCGCACCTCACTCAGCCAGTGAGCTGCCGGTCTGTATGTGGGATCCGAACCCTCGGCAGGAGCACCGCTGTGCTCCCAAGCGGCGCACTGTAGCAGTGCGCCACCAGGCCGGCCCACTGGTCATCTTTAAAAAAAAAAAAAAAAAAAAAAAAAGCTGACAAAAGTCTGTGGTTGAAATAATAATGATGGGAAAATAATTAGGTAGTAACGTTCCTTGGTAATATCCTTTTGTACTCTAGACTTCATAGGCAATGGATTGTGTTTGTAAGTGTTATGTTCATGAAGCCCCTGCTATGACAGCTGACATCACAGAAGAGGACCCAAGAGTAGAGATTTCTCCCTCTTGGCAATCACAACCTCTTATTGCAAAGACAGTATAACTGAGCTGAGGCGGCTTCTCTAACTTTTTTGATAAATAATTATCCCATTTATCATTAAAAAATTGTCCTTTATACTTTGAGGGAAATTTTTATAAAGATTTAACACTATGAGTTTGTAATGAAAGCGTTACCAATAAAACACTTTATGTGCTTATCTGCTTCTAATGAAAAGAAGATGCTACCTTTTCTCCTAAATAGGACAAAAATATCTCCAGGAAAAGAATCCTAGAGCATGGAAGGTATGAACTCTGTCTGGGGAGGGGAAGAGGGACAGGGAGGTTTGGAGAGGGGTTGATGTCAGGGGTTGGTGTGTGGCTAACATCTTTGGGATCCCCAGCTTTGGTAGGAGAGGTTCTGACACCTAATCTAGGTTCCAGTGTCAACAGACCTGGTCTGTGCTGGGGCTGGCACAGATTTTTTTTTTTTTTTTTAAAGATGACCGGTAAAGGGATCTTAACCCTTGACTTGGTGTTGTTAGCACCATGCTCACCAGTGAGCTAACTGGCCATCCCTATATGGGATCTGAACCCGTGGCCTTGGTGTTATCAGCACCGCACTCTCCCGAGTGAGCCACAGGACAGCCCCCCAGATTTTTGAGGCTGGGAAGGGAGAGAAACTCTAAGAGGAAGAGTCCAGGAAAGAGAAGATTTGCTGATACCCACACATGGCAGATGATCAGAGCTCTGGAGATCTATTCTCCATGACTTCTTGGAAGTTCAGGAGAGATAAAGTGAAAGGTTTCATAAACTGTAACATACCAGCTAAACATAAAGCATTATTATCTACTTGCTTGGGATTTGTGCTTAGACACTGGGAAATTGCTTCTCAATTTTTGTCTCTAATCTAAGTCAATCTTCCAATTAAGAAAAAAAAAAACCCAAGATACGGACGTACAAGTAGGTCTATGTTTCATGAGAAATACCTAACATGCTCCATTTAAAACATATTTTTAAAAAATTTGTTCTGGCAGCCCACCAATATGGGGATCCAAATCCCTGACCTTGGTGCTATAACACCATGCCCTAACACAGCTAACTGGCCAGCCTTTAAATTTTTTTTTTTTTTTCTTAAAAGATGACTGGGAGGGGATCTTAACCTTTGACTTGGTGTTGTCAGCACCATGCTCACCCGATGAGCTAACCGGCCATCCCTATATGGGATCCGAACCCGTGGCCTTGGTGTTATCAGCACCGCACTCTCCCAAGTGAGCCACGGGCCAGCCCTACCGGTCATCTTTAAAAAAAAAAAAAAAAGAAAGAAACGTTTTGTGAAAATGATTTGCACTGAACGGGGAGAATTGTTGTTATTGCTTGAAACCGCTGGGAATAAAACAAGTTAAGGTAAACTTTGAAGCAAACTAAACCAGAAATTTGGTGTGCAGGAGAAGTTTGGGCTGAGTGTTATTCCTGGCACTGCCCCATCTCTGAAACCTTGAAAGGCTCTCTTAACTCCTCTGGATATGTAATACAAGCTCTCATTAAATTATCTTTAAGGTCCTTTCCAGCTTTAAATTTCAGTTTCTGAGCATATCAGTAAATGTTCAGTAGGAAAGGTGTGTATGTGGTGGTCTCAGGATTAAGTTTAGGGATAGAAAATCATGAGGGGTTATGTCATAGAGTGTGTGATAAGTTCTTATATCCAAAATTTAGGGCCAGCCCATGGCTCACTCGGGAGAGTGTGGTGCTGATAACAGTAAGGCCACGGGTTCCGATCCCATATAGGGATGGCCGGTTAGCTCACTGGTGAGCATGGTGCTGACAACACCAAGTCAAAGGTTAAGATCCCCTCCCAGTCATCTTTTAAGAAAAAAAAAAAAAAATTTAAAGGCTGGCCAGTTAGCTGTGTTAGGGCATGGTGTTATAGCACCAAGGTCAGGGATTTGGATCCCCATATTGGTGGGCTGCCAGAACAAATTTTTTAAAAATATGTTTTAAATGGAGCATGTTAGGTATTTCTCATGAAACATAGACCTACTTTTACGTCCGTATCTTGGGTTTTTTTTTTTCTTAATTGGAAGATTGACTTAGATTAGAGAC